TTTATAAAGAGAACTTTCTAGGTTCAATTTAAAAACACAGACTAAAAACAAGACTGATCAATTTGAGTTATATAGCTCCCTAGGATTATAACCATTTTTAGTAATTTTATGTACTTGGAGAAATTTACACATAATTCTTAACATTTCACTAACGGGCTGATATTAGTCCCTCATTCTTTGCTGTATTATATTACACTACTATTTTATGAAACGTAATTAAGGGTAGTTTCTTGTTGCTTTTTAAGATGGTGAATTGAGTTAAATGACAATCATGATGTGCTTTTCATGCCTAGATAATTTAGCATTAATTAAGAGCTAAGAGTAAAGTAAATAAAGAATTGGCAGTGAATACAATATCAAACATCAAAATGTATAGGATGGATTGAGTCCATGTCCTGAGGGCGCTATGGGGCACATTGTTGTCAGGGATGCAGAGACACCCAAGGATATTAAAGCTGGAATAGGGAAATGGAGATCGGGAGCCTACTGACTTGACTGGCTCGTGGAAAAGAAGCTAGGGTAGTGACTATACAGGGTCTCAGAGACAGGCGTGGCTTTGGGCAAACGTTAAGTCATAGTTGAATGTGGCTGTTGGTATAGAGCAGGGGTTGGGCAGACTTTTTCTTTAAAAGGCCAGATAGTAAACATTTAGGTTTTTGTGGGCCTAACCTCTGTAATAGGCTATAGGCAGTTCTTAAATGAATGGGTGTGGCTGTGTTCCATTGAAACTTAAAAAAAAACAAACAGGCATGTGGCTGGATTTGGCCTGAAGGTCATGGCTTGACCCCCTGGTTTTATCTGAGTACACGAAGGTGAATTTTAGATTTAATGGATAAGGTACCACTTCGAAGTGAGAGCACTTGTAGTATCTCTCTCTTCATGGAAATCAGCTAAACTGTTTGGTAGATTTATTCTTAGTTATTTTCAAAAGCTTTTTTATTTGGAGAGGTAAATGTTGTCATTCTTTTTGAAACTAGTATGGCTAATGGCAAATTTTTACCATTTAAGGTTAGGAAGCAAGAAGCATCTGTTACATCTTCTCATACCACATGGAGCATTTCAAATAAGAAATCTACCTGGCTTGAAGCACAGTGATCTGTTGTCCTGGTTTGAAGGTTGCAGAGAGGGTAAAATTGAAGGAATAGTATGGCATTGCAATGATGGCTGTTTAATCAAGTTAATGGCAGAAAACAGCTTGTGGGATTATGTTGTCTTATGTTCCTAAAATAAAGTAGAAACGGCACTAAAATACTCTATACAAATTGCAGTAATTCTGACATGCAGTGAAAGAACTAAAAGGAAAGAATACACAGAGTACAGTTGGATAGAAGAGGAAGAATTCTAGTCTGACCTGCGGTGGTTAGAGGAGGCTTCTAGGCAGAGTGAGTATCTGTCCTGAAGCTTAAGAGCCAGAAGTTACCAGCAAGGAAGAGGGAAGGTCGGTTATGTAGTCCTCTGGAAATATTAGGTAATGCTTCATTGTGGCTGGAATGTTGAGGGTATATGACATTTGAGGACCCTGAAATGTTGAGGATGAAGTTTGGAATCTACTCAGATCTTACAGGGATATTAGTATTCCATCTAAAGATGTTTGAAGTTTATCCTGAAGGTGATTATTAGGGATACAGCAAAATGGAATTAAAATTTTTGAAATAGAACTATGGGGTGGGTTTCATTGGAGACTTGTAGACCAGACTCGTAGACCAGGTTATCGTAGTAATCTGGGTGAGTAATGAAGGCCAAAAGTGATGATGGGCACAGTGGTACATGTGCCCTAGTTTGTCTGTTTTGGGGTAGAGGGAAGGATTCTCTTCTGGCAACAGGAGTTAGCAGAGGAATTGCAATAACATTCAATAAATGTGGAATCAGTAAGTTGTGCAGTAAATGTTGGAGCAATGAATTGTAGAGCACTTACTGCATATGTCTGTTCCTGAAACTGGAGAGAAGGAAGAGAGATTAATTAAAGAAGGTTTTAATGCTTTGTCTTGGAATGGTGCTCAGTTCTTACTGGAAAGCTGAATTTTCTGGTAAAGGAGTGTTGGGTGCTCTGTAGTAAATAAGTAAACAGGTTAATTCCTCAGCAGAATAAAAAAGAACATTATTAAAAAATCATGATTAAGAAGGTAGTAAAACTTACGATTTTATAAGTGGTATCTCTGTTTGATAGGATATCCAGAAAATTGGAAAATGTACAACAAAAATAAAGATGACCTTGTCACAATCCAAAGAAAAACAGTGTAGTAAAAGCACTTTTTTCTTTAAAATGATAGGTTGGGTACCAGTGGAGAAAACCAGTAAACAGTATTGCTGGCATTCCTCTGTAGTTAACTGTGAGTTTGAAATCGCCCTGGTGCTGAAGCATCATCCTGATGAGCCTGGTCTTCTGGAAATGACTGCAGTGCCGCTGTCTGATCTCTTAGAACAGACACTGGAGCTTATAGGAACAAACGTTAATGGAAATCCATGTGGTAAGTAAAGCCTTTTCCTTGGTCGTTGTAATAACAGTGATTTATAAAGAGAACTTTCTAGGTTCAATTTAAAAACACAGACTAAAAACAAGACTGATCAATTTGAGTTATATAGCTTCCTAGGATTATAACCATTTTTAGTAATTTTATGTACTTGGAGAAATTTACACATAATTCTTAACATTTCCCTAACAGGCTGATATTAGTCCCTCATTCTTTGCTGTATTATATTACACTACTATTTTATGAAACGTAATTAAGGGTAGTTTCTTGTTGCTTTTTAAGATGGTGAATTGAGTTGAATGACAATCATGATGTGCTTTTCATGGCTAGATAATTTAGCATTAATTAAGAGCTATGAGTAAAGTAAATAAAGAATTGGCAGTGAATACAATATCAAACATCAAAATGTATAGGATGGATTGAGTCCATGTCCTGAGTGTGCTATGGGGCACATTGTTGTCAGGGATGCAGAGACACCCAAGGATATTAAAGCTGGAATAGGGAAATGTTATATGGAGATCGGGAGCCTACTGACTTGACTGGCTCGTGGAAAAGAAGCTAGGGTAGTGAATATACAGGGTCTCAGAGACAGGCGTGGCTTTGGGCAAACGTTAAGTCATAGTTGAATGTGGCTGTTGGTGTAGAGCAGGGGTTGGGCAGACTTTTTCTTTAAAAGGCCAGATAGTAAACATTTAGGTTTTTGTGGGCCTAACCTCTGTAATAGGCTATAGGCAGTTCTTAAATGAATGGGTGTGGCTGTGTTCCATTGAAACTTAAAAAAAAAAAACAGGCATGTGGCTGGATTTGGCCTGAAGGTCATGGCTTGACCCCCTGGTGTTACTGAGGACACGAAGGTGAATTTTAGATTTAATGGATAAGGTACCACTTCGAAGTGAGAGCACTTGTAGTATCTCTCTCTTCATGGAAATCAGCTAAACTGTTTGGTAGATTTATTCTTAGTTATTTTCAAAAGCTTTTTTATTTGGAGAGGTAAATGTTGTCATTCTTTTTGAAACTTGTATGGCTAATGGCAAATTTTTACCATTTAAGGTTAGGAAGCAAGAAGCATCTGTTACATCTTCTCATACCACATGGAGCATTTCAAATAAGAAATCTACCTGGCTTGAAGCACAGTGATCTGTTGTCCTGGTTTGAAGGTTGCAGAGAGGGTAAAATTGAAGGAATAGTATGGCATTGCAATGATGGCTGTTTAATCAAGTTAATGGCAGAAAACAGCTTGTGGGATTATGTTGTCTTATGTTCCTAAAATAAAGTAGAAACGGCACTAAAATACTCTATACAAATTGCAGTAATTCTGACATGCAGTGAAGAAATTTAATTTCCTCTCACATGCCACTGTCCTTTGTATGATGAAATTATGTTTCCCAGTGTGTATTGATTCTCTGGTGCACTGATTCTTCTAGATGTGCTTCAGAATTAACATGATAAAAATACCTGGAAAACCCTGCATACTGCATAACCCCTTCTCAGAAATTCATGTGGCACGTTATTGCTCTCTGAGACATTCTGTACCAACTTAGTTTAACTCATTATTTCCCAAACTTGCTTAACTATAGAACTTATGGAGTTAAAAAGTGCTAAGGTAACAGGTAAATAAATACAGAATGAATTATTTTACACTTTGTGCCCTTTTTGTCTCCCGGAATTGTCTATTTGATTTCTCATAGGTTCTTGAAATCTGTAATGTTCAAAACTAGACCTACTTACACCAACTCCCTAACTCCAACAGTTCACTGAAACCAAAAACTTAGATATCATTTTTAACTTCTCTCTATTACTTCATATATCCAGGGACCAGTTACGAAGTGTACGTCAGTTGAACCTGTGTACTTTTGTACAACCAATTGGCTGTTCAATTTTAAGTCAAGATTTAAGCTTGAATTATTACCCTCCTAAATTGAGAATGTTACTTCCCTGATTAAGACTGTTAAATGACGCCAAGATTTTCCTGTTCAACTTTCCAAAACTGCTCTCTTCCCCCATCTCTCTCTTAAACACACCCACGGTGTGTATATTGTAAGCATACTTAGTACAGTCAAAGCAAAAATCACTATTCTATCACGTGACATTTCCTTTGGTTAGAATGCCTCTCTGAGCACATTTTTCAATTGGCTAGCCTCTGTACTAAGCAACAGACTCTTTATGCATTAAATATTTATGGAGCCCCTGATTATGTTCCTGGCATGTTTCCAGGTGCTGGAAATACAGAGTCAACAAAACAATGTCTCTGCCTTCATGAAGCTCACATTCTAATGGGGTAGACAATAAACAAGAAAATATGTAATATGTCAGGAGGAGAACAGCTGTGAAAAAACAAGGGTAAGATAAAATAGAGCCTTACATAGTGCCTGGCAGATGGTAGGCACTCAAATATTTGTAGATGAATGAAGATAACATAGGCTAAAGCATTTTCTCTTTTCAGGTCCACCGCCATCATCTTGGTTTGTGCTGGCCAATCCCAGATACTTATCTGAATTCACAACCAGTTATAATCAACATGAACCTGAACAAATATGTTTATGCCTTTGATACTAAGTGTTTATTTAATTATTTTTCAAAAATAGATAATCAGAAATTTAGTAGGCTGAAAGATATAATACTTGATATATAAACTGGAAATGCCATTAAAAACCAGCTTTATTGTTATATTTGAATCTTCAATACCCCGCATGTTCAAAAGATAAAAATGGCTCACGGTTCCTAATTATTCAGTGCCTAATATAGCAATATGTCTTCCAGCATTTGAAGAAATGAATTCCCCAATTGCAAATATCTATTCAAAATTTTATTTAGAATCAACGAATGAATTTTACTTTGGACTTGAAAATATAATAGTAAGCTCTCTAGTTTGTACAAAGGTTGGATTCTATCTATCATAAGAGGGTAGGAGTTAAAAGACAACAATTAAACCAACAATTTTAGATAATTTATTTTCAAAATTAAATAGTTAAAGCTGAATTTAATCTTATATATTGAATAAAACATGGCTCAACTTCACAACATATATATAAATGATTTGAGAATCTTAACACATGTAAGTATATATAAAACTCCAATTTTAAAATCATTTTTTACCCTCATACCAAAAAACTTCAAACACAAACATACAGAAATGCATCATAGCTTATTGCCTGTTTGATAAACCATAAATTACTCTAAAAGTCTTCAAAAATATACTTTTCTAATATGTTAAAAATATCACATAGTTTTATGTACTAAAACTTCCAATTTAGGTAAAAGTACAAGGTATTGGGAAGGAATGTAGCTCAGAGACTTGCTTGACTTCCAGGTTGAATTTTAACTTAATGGGGAAATAAGTAGGACTTTCTTCTTCATCTTCCAGCTGTTCAGAAGCAGCAACAGGACTAGTTAATTCAACTCCAAACTGTTCAGAAACTTTTTACAACTTCTCTTCCAAAAGAATGTTTTTTTCACTTCTTCTTTGTAATTATACTTTAGATCTTTGATTTCTTGAAAAAATGAAGGATCAAAATTTTCCAGTTCTTTCTTCAGCTTTTTTACTTCCTCCTAATAGAAACATACAATCTTGAAAAGCTGTGTCGAGGAATATAATATATTTTCTAGATTTGAACGAAGGAGATTTAGTTACAAACATGAAAGCCAAAGTAACCTGAATGGTCAAATATAAAGGCAGAAGTATGTCCTTAAGATTTTGTTCTTAAGGCCTCATTGCACAGTATAACTCACTTAACTTGTTAACTGTCAAATCAAATTATTTGTTAGTTATGTCCTAGTCTTTGACTAAAATTTATCAACTCTTAAATTACAGGGGATTGACTCTTTAAGGAAGTACTTACTCCCAATGTAGCAACCAAAAAACTTGGCTATTCACAATGTTGAAGTTATTTTGGTTAAAATTCCTTGGTTTATATTTTCTTCATAAATATCTAATTTTTAATGAATAATGGTCAAATTCTTATAAGCATATTTATGATCAGGGAAACTGTAGGGCTTCTGCCTGGAAAAGAGGCGTCTTGTAAAGAGACAATTTGAGCTTTAATGACCACTTAGAATGGTCACTAGTCAATTCTCAAATTCATGCTCCTCTGTTTACAGATTCTTAGATAAAAGATAGCAAATATCTTTCTTTAAAGGAGCTATTCCTGAAAAGTATTTCAAAATAATCACTGTTCTCAATGTGATTCCAAAATTACAAGTTGTTGATGAGCTGTATCTGTGACAATGAAAAAATTAATTTACCCTTTAATTCTATTTGTTTTGTCTAAGTTTCTTTTGGTAGCTCTTAAGAAATATTTATTTTTAACACAGATGAATATAATGAACTTGGCAATATCAAGGTCAGGTATAAGATGCATTTTTAGGATACATACTTAAAACTCAGATTACCATCATAGAACTAGTTTTCAAAAAACATAGTGCTATAATAGATATAATTAAATATCTAATTACCATGAAGTGCTGCTTTTCTAGATCTGAGGTTTTGAGCTGTGTTTCTAGATCTTTTACCTTTTCTTTAGTTGATAAGGATCTGCCAAAAAAATTAAAATCAGACTTAGCCCTTTCCCAATCTGATAAAGGATTTGTTTAAGAGAATAAGGGAAAAACTCAATGGCACCAGAGCCTGGAAAACATGGCATTTTATGGCTGAAACACTTTTCAGGCTGTGAATCCTGTATGCTATCCGGTATTATAATTCCACGGCAGACAAGGACGAGGCATCTGGTAGGTACCAGAAGCACAGAGTCAGGTTAACTCTTTATGTGGAAGAAGCTATTTTCCAGAGAAAACTTCTACAGACAAGAAAATTTGTTAGGTACCAGAAGTACAACAGAAGCACACCTGGCCTGTGAAAATACGCCGGTGAAATGCTTCTGTTCCCAAGAGCACTGGCTATTCCATGTCGGTACACTTAACAGTGTAATTACTATGTAAAAATATTCTGAATTGGTGGTTAACACAAAGATGAATAAAACCTGCTGACTTTGGTAGGAAACACAAGTATACAACTATAGCACAAGGACTTCAATTTACCATAGTTAACACATGTCTAATATAACAAGAATCAATGGGCAATAGGACTAATTGCCATCTTTGCTAGAAACTTATATTTTCTTTAAATACTACATATGATGTGTCTTGTGGTCACATTTTACAGCCACTGAAGGGTAAAATTGTTTGAATAGTGCTAGTTAGAGAAAATACTGGACAACCAATGCACTTTCATGAATGGGACAGGAAGCACATTCTATTAAGGTGCCCTTGGAACAGTTTCCTCCCTAATTATAAGTTGGAGACAGGAAATTTTTTCCATATCCTCCCTTATGCGAATGGAGTCAGAACTCACCTTCCTTTGGAAGGCAGAGCAAAATCATACTTTTCAAAGCTCTCTTCACCTTTGTAGAAAGTGTTGATTTTTTTACACAGTTGGTTCACTCTCACTGGGATGCTATATATAGTGAGTTGATTGTCTTAGTGGGACGCTACATGTTACACAGATTGGTAGGGAAATAATGCAGTAAAAGTATTTACTGTGCATCGCACTTTACAAAAGTTAGCTTAGTGAAAACTTGTATTTGAATAGTGCCTTAGAATTTGCAAAATAGTTTTGGTTTGATTCTGGGCTTTAACAATAGTTTAAATATGATAGGATCCTTATCTCCTAGAAGACGATGAGGGTTCAGAAATTCCCTCTCAGGAAACTGAGGTTTAGAAAGAACTTGCATAATGTCAACAGCATTAACAGGTGGAGGGCACTGTATCTAGTAAGATGAAGCTGGCAGCCCCAGGACTGTTGAGAGGTTTATGTATGCGGCAATGCAGTGCAGTGGACAGCAGGGAAAGGCAAGCAGTGTTGGAGTTTCATAGATCTAGGTTTCATCCTGCCTCTGCCACTTCCTGGCTGCAGTGACCTTGGGGACAGGATACTTAACCTCTTTGAATCTGTTTATGGAGTCAGTGATACCCACCATACAGACTTATAATCATTAAAATGTAAAATGCTTGTAAAGCACTAAGCATAGTGTCTGGTACAACTCATACAGCATAGTCTTAATACAAAAGAGCAACAGGACTGTGTGGTAGGATACTGAAAAAGCTATATGAAAATAGTCAAAAACTGTAATATACAAATATAAATTGGTATTAATTGTTTGGGATAGAATTTGGCATTTCCATCAAGCTATCAAATATACATACAAATAACTGATTCTCATTTGCAGTTCTGTTCTAGAAAGTCAACATGAACAATGACTAGGTGACGGGTCATTTCTCTTAGAACACATACACATATATCTCACATAGATTATAATCTTAAATCCTGGAAACATTTCATCTTAGTAGCTTATACGTTCTTTTACAAAAGAGAAAACGAAGTTGAGAAGTGTCAAGTGACTTCTGAGGCTGCACTGCTAACAAGTGTCAGAGCAGGGATCTAAATCCGTCCAGTTGGCCCCCAAACCGGAGTTTCTTGGCTCTTTACGGCACTGCCCCCTACTGTTTCCTTTCTCTGATCACCTCTGTATGAAAGCTGGACAAGCGCAGAACCTGTTGGAGTTCATTTGTTAAGTGTGGGTCATAACTTAATTTTTCGCTGCTCTGTATCTCTGCAAAAGCACCATGAGTACTGACTTGGAGGTTATGAGTAAGTTTTAGTGAGTAGGAGAATTTGCAAGTACAGAATCTGCAAATAATGGGGATCAACTTCATTTTGTGTGTGTAGATATATATATACACATGCATTAAGTCTATATGTATACACATACATACAGGAGTCATTACTTCTGAATGCAAATGGGAGGGAATAGAAGAACAGACTGACTTTGTAAAAGGAAAAAATATAGGCAAGATGACTTACGTAGTTTTTAAATTATCAACAAGATGACAGTAACATTTAGAAGATAATGTTCAGAGGGCTTAAAAGGGCCTGTACTTAGAAACTGGAAGCAACAGACCTAATATTAAATATGTAACATCCATATGGAACACAAGGAGCAAAAACACTTGGAATAGTTGCTACTCAATATTACAAACAGCTCAATTTATTGTTGCATGGAGGAAACATTTCTAAAAACTTACATTAGAGATTTGGTTTTCTAGGAAGATAGTTACCAAAAATCTGAACAAACAAAAAAGGCAAACCTTAATTCAAAATCTTGGGTAAGTAAACTTTCCATTATTAGTTATAAAATACACTTACCAGGTATGGTGCTTTCAGCTCCACTTTGGTTTTTATTAACTTCTATCTGATGGATTAACTCTGCTGTTTCTTTCTCCAGCTGACTTAGCAAGCCTAGAACACAGTGGTGATGTGTTGAAACAAAAGCACAGACATTGCTCCGTGAACTATATGGGCATTTCTAAAGAACTGTATGATGTACAGTGCTTAGGACTTGCTTATATTTATAAAGGTAAACATTTATTCATTTATCATCACTGCTGCAGTGCTACCATTCTCAGAGGTCATGAAATCAAAATTCTTCATGTTTTTCTTAAAATCTGACCTGATGTCATTTTGAAGAGCAGTTTTCCTACCGGAGGAGTCTCTTGAGAGTATGTTACACAGACCCTCGCAGTGAAGAATTGTTTTTCTCTCTTTCATTATTTTGTACCTCTGGAAAGCTAATGTCTGATATATTCTATGCTGTTAAAATTTAAACTGAATTACAAGCTTGACACCCGTATTAGGATTTGGCTTGCCCTTTTTTTGTATCTATGATGTAGAAGAATGGCATAAGAATAAAAATAGGCTGATAAGCTATTTGGCAGCAAGGTTAAAAAATCCTCATCATCTCTAGACATAACAAACCTGGTTATATTAAAAGATAATTAAGGGAAAAAAAGCAGGTGAACAGATAATGTGCCTAAGAACTTGAAGCTTCCGCCGAAGACTTTGTTCTGTCTCATCACCTTCAGGAATATGTTTGAGAATCTCAATCTTTGGGCACAATGAAAAGTCGGAAGACAAAGTTGACATGGAAATGTATGAGGTTTTATAAAGATACACATTTTGAATAAAGCAAAACATTAAACATGAGCACACATTTATGGTGTTCTGTTCATTATTCGTTTAACAGTTATTAAGTAACTGCTCGTGTTAGGCTTGTCTGAGGCATAGAGGATACAACATGTGAAAGAGGAAACCAGATGCCAGATCATGAAAACAGCCTTTAAATTTCATTCTGGGATAATTAGGGAACCAATGGAAGGTTCTAAGAACGGGACTGCTGTGATTTTCTTTGTTTTGTTTGCTTGGCAATTACGTGAAGAATAGACTGAGTCAGGGAGAAGGTGAAACAAGGCAAGAGTAGGAGCCGGGAGACCAGTTAGGAAAATTTGCAATAGTTCAGATGTGAGAGAATAGCTTGGCCTCGACTGGCAGTGTTAGAGGTGCTGAGACGTGGTCACATTCGGGACATTTTGAAAATAGAGCTGAGATGATACAATAAAAAAGATGTGGGGTATGAGAGAAAGAAAGGAATTAATGACCCACGGTTTTTGGTTTAAACAAATGGGTGAATAGTGGCGCCACTCTTAGACGGGCCACCTGGGGAAGAGTTAATAGTTCATTTTTACCTTCAAAAGACAGTACCAAGAAGTGGCTTGACATACAACAGATTGTCTTACCATGTGAAAAAACAAAAAACCGAAAACAAAACTGCATTACTTGCCTGGTGCTCGAGGTCTTCAGTATATTTCTTAACTTTTTGTTCCCTTTCTGTTGCTTATTTACAAGCTGTTTAAGATCAGTAAGGCTATGGTGGTTTTTTTGCAATATCAGTTTCCAATTTTTTCAACTTGGCTTCATACATTCTGAAAGTATAAAAAAAAGATAGAGACATGGAAAAAAAATTTTCTCATTGATTTAAAAGCTAGTTCAAATTATTTCATTAAAAATAATGAAAAATATCTTGTCATATTGTTTCTTCTAGTCAAATCTTCTGTGAGTATTTATTTAGCACTAGGTGACAAAGGATGAATATCCCTAGTTAACAGGTACATTGAAATAGAGGATTTAGATGTTTCCCAGGGATGGAGCCTGAATTTGATCAGCTCAATTTAAATACTAAAATTAATGCCTTTTTCAGTCACAAAAAGCAGAAAGGAAAATTCATCAGAATATCAAATACTATATTATTGGATATTCTTAGGAATATAAACACTACAAACTAAAGCATTTCACAGACACATACATACACACAAACATACCAAAAAAGGAGGCATCCAAGTAGAAAAAAAAAACAGGGCACTGCTGGAAGGCGAATAAGAACATGCCAAAGGATGGGTGAGAGAAAGAGCATGTGATGAGAGAGGAACAAAGCTTGTAAAATTGGAATAGATTTGTAACTCTGAAAGAAATGACCAACAGTTCAAAAAAACCCAGACCCCAAAAGAAATTTTATAACATTGTGCCAAAATGGTTTTATAGCACATCATACCTAAAGGGAGACAACAACTAAAATATTGAAACTTTTCCAGAGACAAGAAAAAGAACACTTTGGTAACAAAATCAGGTAAGGGTAGTACAAGGAAGGAAAATTATCTTAATGCAAGCTTTTGATAAGTCTTAGAAACTTAGAAGGCAATGATCTTAGCCTGACAAACACTGCCAAAGCGGTGGAGCATGAGAAGTGGTTCACTCCTTTCTCATTCAGTTCCCTGCTCAAATGCCACCCAGTCAGAGAACCTCTCTCTCTGATGTCTCAGCAGTCAGTATAAGGCCTGACAAAATAGATACCATTAATTTGTTGAGTAAAGTATAAGGCAACTATAATGATTTCAGCATGAGGAAGACGTAGTGTGTCATGAGTCCCAGAAGCGATCTCCAAACCACTTCACTGAGCTGGCTATGAGATCCCAGCTGCAGACCTAAGCAATTTTTTGGTGGATTTAGGGAAGCTTGATGCCAAGGATCAGAGTTAGTCTTCTGTCCAGTGGATTCCACTAGGACTTGTCTTTTTCAAAGGGGTTTACCAAAGGCTTACTTTATGCTCACTACCTGTACAATTTGCAGCTTAAAAACCAATCTAAAAGGCAAAGACATCTTCAATTATGGTTAAATATCAACCACCCTCTCAAATGTTCATAAACTTTATAAACACTATCACATTAATAACCTTGTCTGCATCTTCAGAGCCCTTTTTAGAAAGTAGGACAGGGATTATCATTTCCACAGTTAAAAAAAACTTGGGCTCACAAAAGAGATGTAATTTACTTAAGGTCCCAGTGAGAATTAGGTATTTCTAAGCCATGAAAGCTCCCAGGTTCTCTGAAAAAACTTTGGCCAAGTAGGCCTTTTAGAAATACATTGAAATTAAAGGATGGTGTCTGGTGTGCAGTAAGTACTGAATAGGTATCTGCTGAATGAATACATCCAGAAATCTTTTGAGTCCATATGTGACTGTAGAAGGAAATAAAGGACCAACCAAGAAATCAGCCGTGATAGCAATGCTGGTTGAGAGCCTCTCGGGTCCAAGCAAGCAAAAGTGACTCCTTTTCCCCTTTATACTATCACACATGCTATTTCACCAAACCCTCGCACTTGCCCTCTGGTAGAAGTGAGAGAGGGCCACAGGGGGAACGAGTGGATCCTCAGTGCTCTTAGTAGGGTATTAGGATAGGAACCGAGGACCCTTCTCTAGGACTGCCTGGCCACCCGGGCTGCCCTCTGATCTACTTGCACAGCCTTCCCTTTGGCTGACAGGCAAGCGCAGTGCAGCAGGCCCACTGTGGGCCTTGCTGTAGCCTCGGTGCTGTGGCTCCTGTCCTAGTTGTATTGACGTGACCACCTATCCACCTCTCATCAAGTCCATTCTAATCAGCAGGTGGACATCAAAGGGGAAACTGGAAATATGTGGACATGAGGAACTCTGTTAATATGGTAAGATAAAGATGACTTTGCCTTTCCAAATAGGGCCAGCAGGTGTTACTTCATGCAGGATAACTTTAACGGGAAAGGACATAGCACAATCTCCTTGCTCTCTGGCTTCTATACTCCTTGAAGCAGCTGCTGAGCAGTCTGGAAATGAGAATGACACCAAAGCCTTTTACTGACTTATCAGAGTCATGTTAACCTACTCGTGATAGTGGCAGTGAATGTATGAATGCTTACTCATGAATTCCCATCACCCCTTCCATAGCCACAGTTTATGGGAAAGGCAGTCACATGTATTTGTAGAAATGGCTCATGGGGTGGAGAAAATCTAGTGCCAGAACACAGAGGCCAGGAAGACACTAGAGCTGTTGCTGAATTCATCCGTCGGGACTCTTTGAAGAACATGTTGCCCAGAATGTAACTGCCAATTGCAGCGCGGCCCAGATCTACTATGGCGCGGGTTGTGACAAGACATCTTAACTGTGCCTGGCTAATACTTGAGGTAGAAAATGAACACAATGAAGAAGTCGAGTTGTAGCTGGAAAAAAAGAGCAGGTAGGAGAAGCTGGGCACCATCAGTCCAAGCTCATGGCTGACAGCAGCTTCGTGCTGCCCACCCAGCTCTAACGCCCAGAGCCCAGCCTCTGCTCTGCTCTGTCCCGTGCCCTGCCACCTAAGTTCCTTAGACATTTTAAGGAAGGTAAAGACTTTGATGATGCGAGGAAAGGAAAAATCACCAACCAAACAGTTCATCGGGAAAGAGCTAAGTTAATCAGAACAGTGTCATAGTCTTTTCAAAACAATAATGGCAGAATTAGATCTGATTCAACTTTGTGCGAGTTTAAACTATTTGTTCCTACCTTGTAACAACACTAGATTTCCAGCTCTTGCTGTCAGCACCTTCAAGCTGTGGACTTCTGCGTTCCGCTGACTGTAACCTCTTACCAGTCTCTTCTAGTTGGACTGTCATCTTCTCATTCAATATCTCTATTCCTGGCTATCGGCAGGTTCTCTGCAGCTTCAGTTTCCTATCATTAGGAGCCAATTAGTGTACTATGGTGAAACATAATACTCTCATAGGTGCAATATATTCAAAATTATTGCTAGAAATTAGAAAACAAAAATAAACTCTAAGTGCTGATTAAAACTGCAATAAAAATCCAACATTTCCTTTACTCTCAAACAGCAATATGATATTAGAACCACCAATCATATAAATGAGGATAGAAAAATATATTTACAAGTATTTTACTCTAGTAGTTATTTTAAGTTTGTCACTTGGTTTCTTTACATTAGTCATCTTTGTAATATTTATAGAATAATGAGATAGAGATAGTTTGTCTTTACACATTTCAAAATGTTTTGACTCTAAAACTTGAGAGACCTATCCATAAACATAAACTATGTGTAAGTATCATAAATTATTGCCACTATTAAACATCCATATCCAAAGCAAAGTATCACTCTGGCCTCACAGTATATTTAGATACTATTGTATAGTAACTAGTTTAAAAATATTAATTTCAATTTATTCACTGCATCATCCATATAAATACCACCACCCACTACCCATTGTCTGGGGCAAGGAATATATTTTTGCCCGTTAAATAGAAAGGAATCTTACTGTTTAACAAAAAGTTTCACATACTCCTTTCTGTACATCAAACATTGCTCTAAGTCATGTGCACCAATATTACCTCACTTCCCGATGTTATAGATGAGGAAATGGGGGGATGGAGAGGGGCTAGCAGCTGGCCCTAGTTCCCACAGCTGACAAGTAACAGAGCTAGGATTTGAATCCCAACCGTGTAGCCTCTACATTTACTGGCTCTCAATTCATTAATTTTTTATTTTCAAGGTTCCTCATGGTGAAAGTGGCAAGCAGAATCACAAACTTTCTAAATCTCTTTTACTATCTACTTTGAATAGACACTCTCATCACTTTTCATTCAGTTTTTATAAGATGTGTTAGTTAAAATAAAAAGTAATAATTAGCAATGAAAGTCATACTTTGTTAAGTTCTTTACGAAGCCTTTCGTTTTCAGCAACAATTTTCTCTTTGCCTTTGTTTGTGGAATGACGGTGCACGCTCAGCTGACGTCCCAGGAGAGCTTTGACTTGTTCCACTTCAGCCTAGTAGTAAAAACTATACATTATCGAAATGAAATAAAAGATGACCTTGTAAACTCACTAAATTTATTTCCAAATAGTTTTAGAGCCCATATTTGATAGAATTAAAGTCTTCCCTTTAATACCAGTCATCTGAAGTAAACATTCCCCACCTTGGCTACACATTAGAATAAAGTGATGACTTAAAAAAAATCACAATATCCCAAAAGAATCTAATCAATCTCAGAAGTGGGTGTGTAGGCATCTGCATTTTTGAAAAAAGGCACACGTCATTATGTTATGTTGCCAGAGGGAGAACCATTGATCTTCAAATACTATGACCAAGTGGAGTTACTCTAATTACTCTTAGCCTTGTCTCCATTGAAGTTGTTTCTCTGTAGTGTAAACTATCTATTGCATCCATTAAAACAATTTTATGCAGTACATTTAAAATTTTCCTAAAAAACTAATACAAATTACAGTGGTAAAACATTCTACCCCATGATCATATTTTAAATATTACCTTCAACTTTTCACTTTCCATCACAATATTAGCCATTTTTTCACTGGTTATTATTCCTGATGCTTTTTTCAATTGTTCATTTTCCCTTTGGACTTTTTCAACTACTTTTTTCATTAAACCAGTGGTTTTTTCTAATTCTG